GAGAGGAGAGGAGAGGAGAGGAGAGGAGAGGAGAGGAGAGGAGAGGAGAGGAGAGGAGAGGAGAGGCAATAATAAAATTATGTCCTTTGGATATTTGCAATGGTATTTCATCAAAAATAGTCTGTAGTGTAAAAAATCTCTTACTCCAAAAATTGGGTTTTTCTCCATCAGGATGGAACAGCTGACATCTTGAAGAAGTCTGTGTCCGTGCTGCCATCAGGCAGGAGACACCTGAGGTCTGCCAGGACCACTGCAGTTTGAGCCGCCAGAGGGACTAGCTGGCAGGATCTTTGGGATACRTTTATTTTGATCCTTAGATTTCCACAGTTATTCTCCAAGACCCCTTAGCTCAGAAAAATCTATCTAAAAAACCAACAAATTCTGTCCACACCAAGAATTTAATGTCTTCCAAATTAATTTTTTTCAACCACTTTCAATTTCTTCCCTTTCCAAACTGTGACATTCTTACACCATTACGAGTGATGAAGGCAATGCTTCATCTTCCTCTGCGTTGATAAATAAAATTCTTAGTGTAGTTAGAATAGGAATGTGGAAGAGAACAAATCAGCCTAAAATAATAGCRGGAAAATAATTGCTATACATCACCATGGAAAATACATGCTGGAAGTGCCTCTCCAAAGCCATGTAGCTTTTCACCTATACTAGTTCCTCATGTGGGCTCCGGGTGTTACTTCCCTTTTTTCCCAGTTACATCTCTGAAAGGACAATGACTTTGTGGTGGGGGAAGAGTAATTTTACCTCCTATGGAAGATAGGATGAAGACCCTTTGCAACTGGAGGGTCAGTCTTAAGACCTTTTAGCAATTTGCAGATGATCTTGTTTCTCCAAGGAGTCGTGGTGCTCTACAAGCCGGCTTCTGAGCGCCAGAGATGACGCTCCCCATTTCCCTCCTCTTTTAATAGATGACTTTAGCAAAATTGGGCTAGGGAGCAGCTACGTGCCTGCTGTGGGCGAGCACGAAAGGCCGGGRATCAGGACAGGTTGCTCTCCATGGTCAGGGCACTAAGAGCTTAGGATTAGGGTACCAAAAATCAGCACCTGTAGCCATGTCTCTAAGGGGCCTGGGACTCAGTGCAAACATTAACCACGTGGAAGGTCTGAAGATTCTCCTTCATTAGCACTGGTTTTTGCACTGCTGTGTGATTTTCTGTTCATTGAGAGCAGTTCAGAAAGAGACTCCGTAGAAAAGTAAACCACACGTCCCCTGTTGTCTGTGTTCTCATTTTCAAAGTAGCAGCCTTATATCTGCTATCCCTAGAATCATGTCCTAGTCCTGTTATTTTTTCTTTCTTTCTTTTTTTTTTTTTTTTATCTTGTTCAAAACTGTTATCTTTAATCAGCTACTGAGACTATGGGCTATATGTTTTAAAACCCCATGGTCTGCAAGGGTTTAAGGTTTGTGCAGGACTTCACCATATTTCTACCTTACAAAAGTGAAATAAATCATTCTCTGGCAAAACAAGTGCACATAAACGTAGCTACTGCTGCCTTCTGGTTTGTGTTCTTGGGAGAAAACTGATGGTCCTGTCTTCCAAATCCACAGATTTATTTTACTTCAGTCTTGTGAATTATCCAGCTCTGTTTCTTTTCTTCAGTGTCTTTTTTTTCCACAGGTTTTGAAGCTGATTTATTCTACTAAATATGTTACATAACCTGTGAAGGACTTTTCAAAATGCATTTTCAGTATTTTCTGGTGAAGGAAAACTCGAAGTGCTGATCTTCACACAGAGAATGATGGAATGTCTGGATTTCACTGCAGCTTCCCTCAGGAGCGTGAAAGACATCCCTAACAGACTGGGTTTTGGCTTTAAACAAGTATTTCTCTAGCACAATGATCTCTGTCAAGAACAGGCTTTAATTCAAAGAAAGATATGGATGAGAAGTAAGTGCTTTTTTTTTTTTTTTTCCTTTAAGATATGTTAGAGCTCTTTAGCATGGTGCAGGTTAATATGTGACAAGATGCTTCAAGGATTAAGGTTAAAGCTGCTYGTTGATGACCAGCGATAAATATTCAGTTTTCTCTCCATATGTGGGAATAAGAAAAATAAATAATTTGAATGAAAATTCATTGCATGAATGACAATAATTCGTTATTAAGAATATCCTTTATTAATATGACCTGAAAAATATATCACGTCACAAAGTATTTAAAACACTTAAGATACTCTACACAGTTACAATAAAACCAGTACCAGGATCTTTACAAACAGTTTCTCAACCAACACAGACACTGCTGAGCATTTGTACCTGCTACTGGAGCACGGGAAAACCGAATCCCCATCTCTTAACTTGCGTATTTTCAGACACCGGGATGCCCTGTCCATGGAGTCCCCTTCCCACCGCTCCAAGCCCAGAGCTGCAGGGCGGCTGCGAGCCCCAACACCGAAGGTCTCCGTCTGGTGGCAGGACTAGACTTGGGTGCCAGGGAGGTCTCCTCTGGGGATCCCACCRGGCCAGAAGTGGGGATCCCACCAGTCCAGGGACTTCTGGCATGCCAGAAAGAAAAGCTGCCTCACGTGCAGTCAATGAAGTCTTCCCCTTCCTTCCTTTTGAGGGTGCCTTCGTTCCAAAATGCYAACATATCAAGTTATATCCAAAAATCTCTTCTGAAAAGGGCCCTTTTCTCCATTTGGTGAATGTAGTGACGAGAAATGAGGGCAAGCCCCATGGCTACCACCTGTAGCTACTGGTTGGAAGTCTATTACTTCCAAAAGCACAATCCCCCTCTAACAGTTACTAACGAATATCCTTTCCCCCTTCTTAATATACCTAGTGCAAATTGATCAGCGYTAGTCCTAAGCAAAAATTCAAGTGCAGTTGCATTCCTCAACACAGAAAGGTTAAAAACTAACAAAGCACAGGATAATGTCATCAAAAACAATAATTATTCTGAGCTAAGTTTGCTTTGGTCCATCAAATGTTATTGGGTATCATCAGCCCGGGCTACATTTGGAGACTCTGGGTATCAGTTCGGGAGCTTCGACTTGGACACGGGTCCTATCCCCATTAGTCTCATCCATTTCTGTACGTTCTAGTCTCTGCTACTCATTTGAGAATTCAAGTGCAGTAGTTGAGTTTTGGCTGTTATCCTAATAAAAACTGGGTATATTGAAAATAGTGACCRTGGGTATCCTGTGTCAGCTGTGTAAGTTATGGTATTAAAGTGTTGTGTCTAAGTGCTGCAATGCCAAGTGCACCTGTGACTTAATAAAACACATTTAGAACCTTATTCTGAATTGTTTCAGATTTTCTTTATCCTCAAATACTGGTAGTTAATGTCTAATAATGAGTTGACTRCAAGACAACAACAAACAACTACTGTTATTGAAACATAGCAATGCAGAAAGATGAGTTAAAACGATGGTGCAAAATTGCTCTTGTATAATTGAAGAAAACTGCTTATACGTAACCAGAAAGTACTGAAGTGGTATTGAATTATATAAAAATCCAAATACAAAATAACTTGTTCATTTAGTAAAATTACCAGAGAAAACATGCTATCAGTGAAACTTGTCTTAAATGACTAACTAAAAAATGCTTCTTAAATGGAATATCTTCTTAGAATTATTTCTGTCAGAAAGTACGCTATAACTTACTTATTTCTGTCAGAAAGTAAGTATATAACTATACTAAGTATGTTTAGGAATAAATACCTAGGTTAGCTCAAGAGAGAGAGCTTCCTCCAACCCTGTTTTGCTGTTTAAGCTCAGTTATTCCAGTTTTTTTTTTCCTTACTATGTTGTGTGCTCAGAGGTGTCTTCTAGTCAGTCTTTTTAGTTTTCCTGTAGTGCAGGACTGTGGCTGTGACCCAGATATTGAGAATGAGCATGGTTATGAAACGGAAGAGAACTAAAAGGAAGGAAAAAAAACATGAGCATAAATGCAAAAAATAAGCTGTCGTTTTCAGAATACAATTTGTTTCATAAACTTTTGCCATTTTGCAGCTCATTACAGCTAGCTGATTGACATTACCATGTTCCGGACACAGGAATTCTTAGAGTAAATTCAGTGTGTACATTTTAAGAAGGGAGAAAGAGTGGAGAAGTCATAGCAGAGAAAAAGCATTTAGCATTTGCTGGGTGACAGCTGAAAATAGTATACACCACAGTTCCTTTAATTCTTTTGATACAAAAACTTTGAAGAGTCTCATTTAAGTTTATATCTACACCCAACACAAAATTCAGAGTTGCAATTCATGTCCTTTACACTTACATGGGTTGTTCATAATAGAGGGATTAGTCAATAATATCCACTGTTAAGCTCCAATTTCAGAGTTACAGGAARTATTTTACATTGTCAGATTTCAATGAGAACAAAAGCTGACAACTCAGTAAAAAGTACTGTTTGCTCACTATCTTGATTAACTTTCAGCATTTAAAAATATATAATAAACACAGTATCTCCACCTGTGAGACTGCAGTTTGTAGTACAAATATATCTAATATCCAGTCYTAGTAACCAAGATAATATGGCCAAAGTGTTCAGTTTCAGAAGCTGATGAGAATCATTTTCCTTTAATGCTTCTGAATTAGCGTTTGTTGCCATCTCTTTCATGTTCCAAGGTATATTCTAATAATATTTTAAAGCACGACTTCGACCAGCTTTAAGCCAGCTTTACTTTCAAAGGCTGCACTTTCCCTGGCATTTTTAGACAGTATTTTTCCCTTTTGTCCCCTCGATACCTGTCCTGGCTCTTTCTAATCAGTGCARTCCTGCAGCTGTGCATGGACTGGACTCAATAACTGACCTAGATGAAGTTTTCAGTGTGTACTTTGCCATTTTATTGGTGTTCTTGGACTAGATGATCTCTAGAGGTCCCTTCCAACCTTAACTATTCTGTGAATTCTTGTTAACTGAGTACAAGCTCGTCTTTTTGGTGCAGGAAAAAGCAGGAATGGAAATGAGCAGTTGAAAAAGAGATTTCCAGTGCAAGAGCCATTCTAAATGCCTGTAAAACTAGGGCCTTATTGTGCTGCTTTAAGAAGAAAAATCCATTCAAATGACAGGTCTGCTGAAGCATCAGCCTTGAACTAGAACAAAGATCTACCAGATAAAATGCAATGCAATTTTCTTACTGTCCTTACATCCACTAAATCGTAATTTTGAACCATATATTGAAAAATCTGCTGCACTCCTTAGCCCCATCAGTTTTGTCGGGATCACTTTTTTTTCATAGGATGGTAAGTAGCTGTTAAATAGCTTTGCTTTGTAATGAAATTATCTGCTAATTAAATGTTTTAAGTCAGTTTGGGATGAGTTTTCTGGTAGCCTGCTCTATCACTTTTCCCTCATAAATTCTTTATAAAAGCCTGGTGTAAAACTATTTATACTAGATGACTTTTAAAATGGTCTTATAGAAGATTTTTTTAATGCACAAACCCTAGAAAAAAAACTAGAAAAAAAAGTTTATTTGGAAAAGCTACAACTCACACACACACATATATATATGTTGATGTGTATAAAATACATATATATTTGTATATATATATTTATATASATATGAAGATCAATGTATTTTGATTTGCTAAATGAATGTATTAGTATATTTAAATATAAAACATTTTAATAGTTTATTTTGTTATTTTCCCAGTTAAGTAAATCTTGTAGAGCTTTCTCGTTTCGCAAAGAAACATATGGGAGGCTTTGGCAGATCTTCACCTGGTGCCTTACTCATTTGTACTCCTGAGCTGCTTTTTTTAGCAGTAACTCCTTCCCTCACTGTATGAAACCCTGTTTCCTAATTTGTTCTTCCGAGAACAGAACCTGCTTTATAGCAGAGTAACTACCTTGGCAGCTGCTGTCTTAGGAAGGCAGAGAATTTCACGTTCTACTCACCTATAAGATCATTCGTAGTCATTAAAGTTGTAAGTATTCTTGCTGTAAATTGAAGGAATTGTGATTAGTGGGCTAGATATGACATGCTTATATATTACAGTATTACAAAGAAACTATTTTGCAATGCAGGATAATCTTGCATGAAAATATACCTCATCTAAACATACTCATTTTTAATATGTGCACTCCTCAGTATTTTGACCTGAGTCCAAGCTCTCAAACCTGAGTTATGCTGTATTGAGGATATTTGTCCYGATACAGTGAAATATACCTATAATAACATATATTATACATATATGAATTCAAAGCGTGTGATGTGGTGAGTGTTTACTGCTCTCTTTCTGTTCAGTCCCTCCTTTAGCAGCTGATACTTGGCTTCATCCACAGTCAGGTATGACTTAGTACCATGAGGTGTGAATGTTCGCATCAGTGCTGTCAGGCTGCTGCAAGTAAGAGAAAATCAGTTCCCACACGACAAGAGATATCTAAAAGTTACACTTTCATATTTGTGGCTTACAAAAATCATTACTATTTTTCAGCTGACATAGTCCAACTTCTAATTATTCATTTAAACCCATTTATTTCACAGAAGAATAGATTCAACAGCAATACACTTTATTTAAGGGTGTTTTAAACAAGCTTTGTGAATACACAATGTCACTTCTGCTGAAGAGTTGTATAGGTGTTTATGTTGACCACCAGGCAGTTAACCAAACACAGACATGAATGGCACAAATTAACAGCTCTCAACAACATTCTTAAATTCACCCTGTTGAGCAAATTATTTACACACAGTCATAAAACTAGCGGGATTTAACATTAGATGTGTATTTGTTAGTAGATGCTTTTCAGAATCATCTTTGTCCTGATAAATTTATTAAATCCTCCAATGATGGGATCTTTTCTTCATAAAGGCACTCTCATTTTTTCATCTTTACTGGACAACATGTGATAATGGTCAAATGAACCTAAGACAAATACTGAGCTTATGCAAATATAAAGTTTGATTTCAAAAGACTGGGTGGTGTCTTAGTCTCAGAGACCACAGAGCAACCACTGGAGATCAGCCGGTCCAACTCCCTGCTCAAGCAGGGCTGGCTAGAGCAGCTTGTCCACGACTGTGCCCCAGCAGGTTTTGAGCATCTCCAAGGATCCAAGGATGGAGACTCCACAAGCTCTCCAGGCAGCCTGTTCCACTGCTCTGTCACCCTCACAGTGAATTGCTGTCCTATATTCAGAAGGAATTTCCTATATTTCAATTTGTGCCAGGTAGCTTTCATCTTGTCACTGGGCACTTCTTGGGAAGAGTTTGGCTCCATCTTCTTTAGTCCCTCCTACCAGGAATTTATGAAGGTCCCCATAGAGCCTTGTTTACTGCAGGCTGAACACTCCCAGCTCTCTCAGCCTCTCCTCATGAGACAGATGCACCAGCCCCCTCATGGTCTTTGTGGCCCTTTGCTGGACTCGCTCCAGTATGTCCGTGTCTTCATTGCACTGGGGAGCCAAGCCAAGCAGAGGGGAGGGATCCCCTCCCTCGATCTGCTGGCAATGCTCTGCCTGGTGCAGTGTCACCACTGGTCACCTTTGCCACCAGGACATATTGCTGGTTCGACGCAGTGTCCACCAGAACCCTCAGGCCCTCTATACTAGTCTGCTTTCCAGCCGGTCGGCATGAGGTTGTTATTCCCCAGGTGCAGGACTTGGCACTTCTCAATGTTTTCCTCTCTGCCCAGCTTTCCAGGCTCTTCAGATCCCTCTAAAGACTCACTGATTCACTGGAGAACAAACCTCCAGTGAATCAGTCACTCCTCACACTTTTGTATTATCTTCAAACATGCTATGAATGCATTTGGTCCCATCATTCACATCACTAATAAAGGTATTAAACATTCCTGGACTTGGTATTGACCCTGGAGAACTGACTGGCTTCCAGTTGGGCTTTTGCCACTGATCACAACCCTTTGGGCCAGGCAGTTCAGCCAGTTTACAGTTTACCTCACTGCTTGTCTAGCCCATTGTTCATCAGCTTGTCTATAAGGATGTTATGGGAGTAATTTATCAGCTTGTCTATGAGAATGTTACAGGAGGGACATTGTCAAGAAGCTTACTAAAAATCAAGAACAACAACATCCACTGCTCTCCCCTCATCCACCAAGCCAGTCTATTCATTGTAGAAGGCTATCAGGTTGGTTAAGCACAATTTCTCCTTCACAAATACATGCTGCCTGCTCCTGATCTCTTTCCTGGCCTTCACTTTTCCAGAAAGAGCATCCAGGTTATTTATTCCATCATCTTGCCAGGGATCAAGGTGAAGCTGTCCAGCCTGCAGTTTCCTGGATCTTCCTTCTTGCCCTTCTTGCTAATAGTAGTGACATTTTCTCTCTTCCAGTCTTCAGGAACCTCTCCTAAACAGCAAAGATGAGGGAGAGTGGCCTTGTAAGGACAACAGCCAGTTCCCTCAGCACTCGCAGGTGAATCTGGTCAGGGCCCACTGACCTGTTTTTCCTCGCTTTCTTCCAGGATATTTCTTCCCATATTCCACGATCTTCTGCCATGGAAATTAAATCTTAATTGCTCCAGGCTTCCCCTCAGGTCTCAGGGACTTGAGATTTCTAAGGGCTGCTCCATGGAGAAGAAGTCATCAAGTATCTCTGCCTTTTGTCCTTTGTCACAAGGGCCTCTGTTTAGCAGCAGGCTAAGTAGTCAGTATGGAAAACTACGTTAGCCAAGATTTTTATCCATCGTTTAGCAAAGACCTATTGACACAGGCATTGGGAGCAGGAAAGGTTGGATAAAACGAAACCTCAGTGCTCTGCACCAGGTTGCCAGTAGCTTACTTGCACAGGTATACGCAGACAAAGCCCAGGTCAAGGCGCTCACTTGTCCCGAATCTTTGGTCTGCCAGAGGCACCGCAGCTGGGCAAACTTACTCGCTGCACTGATCAGCGTGCACAGATTCTGCAAAGCATGGAAAAGAGAGAACGAGCCCCGTCTCTACTGTTGTATTTTCTGAGTTTTCAGCTTATGGTTAGCTGTTAGGGTGCATTTTACTAATAATTAAGAATAGCTTTTTCATTTATAATGGAAGAAAGCACTTATCTATGCATTAAAGCTTCCTATTAAGGAACGTGAGACAAAAAGATAACGTTTTTATCTTTTATCTTTAGACAGGCCAGAAACCAGTGACTGAAACCACCCAGAAAGAAGTTCAAAGAGCACAACAATTACTACTGTTGGCAAAGGTTTGACAGAGACAACTATAAAAGGAGGCGCAAAGCACTAACTTCCCCCAACCTGCTGCATAAAACTGTTTACAAAAGTCAGCTGAAATGAGACTGATCTAGTCTAAACAGCAGGGTTGATTCATACCATCTGTTACCATTCTGCCTGGCAAACGAAACAACAGAAGAATGAGAAAACTGACAAAAATGTGTGGAAAATGAGTCCAGTTGATGGGAAAAAAAAAAAAAAAAAAAAAAAAAAAAAAAAAAAAAAAAAAAGGAAGGGAAAAGGACTATCCAACCTGTCATCCTTTTAAGGGAGATTTTGCAAAGGCAGTGGGTAGAGAGCAGGATCTCCACATGGGACTTTATGCCATGCCTGAATTTTCTCTTCAAGTAAGGATCAGTATCAGGCTTGGAATTTTTATCCCCATTTATGTTTCCTTTCCAGGAGAAACTCCAGTTCCTCTCAATTCACTTTCTCTCTTCTCATACAAAGGGCAAAAGCTATTTTTCATACTACATAGGACCTTATCAGATGATATTTTTCCTTGCAAAACTCTCTAACCGAAGGGAAAAAAAAAGAGCTTGTGAAATATTTAACACTCTCCATTTCAAATACTTTGACTGACACTCCCTTCTTTTCCTCTCGTGTTAAGAAATGGGGATTATAGAATTTGGCCTAAGGAGACAAGCACATCTTTTTTTTCAACATCTTACACTTCTGCTAGGTTTAACACTATACAGTGACAAGGTCATGCCTGCAATTTTAACACTCTCAGCTCGCTATACTTAACACAATTATAGCTCAGAATATACACAGGGTGGGCTTCTCTTGCAGAGGCTGTGCTGCAAGTGCTGTGTTTTCAGGCTTCACACCGAAGTGAGAGAAACAGCTACACTTGAAAACTGGTTGGTCGCTCTGACAGCTTAACCTAAACGATGAATTCTTTCAAGGACAAATGTAAGAGAAGTTGCTCACTACGAAAGACCCTAAGAAAGAATAATTTCATACACAGTCAAAATTTCAAGTAGTCAAGTAACTCTTACCATGGCCAGGTCCATTATCCACTTCTGCAGTGCCAGCATGTACCACCCCCCTACAAATCTTCAGTAATGTTAAGTCTCACAGCACTTTAGGGTTTAGGGTTCACAGCATTTTAGGGTACCCAAGCTCTCAAATCTGGCTGGGAAATTAGTTTTTTCTAACATCTGGAAATAATCTTACTGTAACATTATACACAGCCCATGCAATCTGGATAAAGCAAATTAAGTACTGGGTTAAACAGTAAGTGCTCCTACTCTTCACACTGTCATTGGCTGAACAGCGTGTGGAGTTTCGCAAGAGCCTCTCCAAAGGTCAAGGCATGAGATTTCAGTGCAAATTCTGTTTTTTAAAAACCAAACCAAAAAAATACCCAGCTACTATGTTCATCACTGCAACTATAATCTGCATGGGTAGGAGACAGAGTAAGAGGCACCATCCTTTCCAACCTGCATTTCTAGTAAGGATGTTAATTAAGGGTTGGTCTCACTCCTCCTTATCTGTTGTTGGCCTCTCCAAGGATAGTTGCATGCTATGATAAAAGGAATCAGCGCGTCAATGCAGAATGCACATAGAGGGAAGGCTGAATATAATTTACAATTTACAATCTATAAAACAAATAATGACATAGCTATGCAAACAGCTATCAAACCAGCTACATAAACAGATATTGCCAAATCTGAAAGGATACGTGACTGTGTAGAGCAAGGCTTGTTTCATGTTTCCACTGAAATGCAGAATAAACAAGAAGAGAACGACATCTGAAATAAATAGAAGATCACTTGTTACAGAAGTGAGCAAAAGGGCCCAAACACAACTATAGGCAGAAGGCAGTAACTCTGCTAAGCACCATGCCTGAGGAAGCTGCTTTCTCACAGGTTTCTCCCTCAGACTTGACTCACGTCCGTTATCCTGCAAGCACCCGAGTAGGGCTTTTCCCGGTTTGGAGCTGGGACACATTTCTCCCCCATGTGGACCCACTGGATCAATAATTCATGCATAAAGAATGAACTTACCCTGCAGCCCCACTGTAGGCAGGAGGCAGGGGAAATCAATTAGATCTTTCTGCTCCACCTGAACATCAAGTTTCATAGAACGAATAGGAGGAATTCGATGACATTTGAGGTGCTCGTTTTCCCTCCAACCACCCCAAGCCCAGCTAGAACTGGCCAGTGGATTCACGTTRACCATATGCACACACAGAGCCTTGATGTGCTGTGTGAGGCCTGTTTGAATTCCAAAACTGGCTTAAAAACATTACCTTGTGCAATGAGGATAGGATATTCCAGGTAAGTCTGCAGAGGGTAACCATAATAAATCTGGTACTTCAGAAACACAAGGAAGCTGAAAAGGAAGACACAAAGTGTCAGGGCACAAAGGGAAGGGAGAGCTCCCTGAAAACTTCACCTTATCCTCTAGAAATAACTTTTGGTGGTGTCAAAAGGCTCCAGGCAGGGACAGGTCCTGCTGTCAAACGGATGAAGCAAACATGAATACAAGGCCCTGKCCCTGATGATTCTGCAGTCTATTTCTGTTCCTCTCAATATGAATAAAATGATGAGAGCTGCCTGCATTTCGTGCCAAGGTCTTTGTGGCACAGTCTTAAAGGCATCGTTTTATCAAGTATGACTGAGGAGAAACAAATAAAGCCTTCCAGATCTAGGAGTTACCTTCTCTTTGCAAATCCTCTTTGCTAGACCCCAGGAATAGCTCTGATTCCTCTGTTTATGTAGTTCTATCTATAAATTAAATCAATTTTTACAGGAGTAGAAAACATCTTCCAAGCATCCAGACTACACTGCTCTAACACTGCCCAGTGTAGCTATACTGAGCTGACTGTGCTTTTAACTGTACTAAACAATGACAATTCTTCTGTTCTACTATAACAGTATTTGAAAGAAATCAGTTTTTATCACATTTTCTTTACCTGTCTGATCCTAAACTTTCATACAAGTCCATGGAGAACAGCCAGTACTCCACACTTTGCACAGAAAAAGCAAGGACTCACAGGACATAGTTCTAGGTGAGGAAGGACCCTTTTCCCCTGGAGAAGGATGCCATGAGGAACCTTGTGGAAATCTGGCTGTTAAATATCCAGAAGTTAAATACCTGAAATCTTTTGAGAATTTCCTAGAAATCTTATTTCTTGCTGTAGGGTCAACTTATACTCCTTGCTRTCAGCGTTGTTCTTCTGTGCCACTTGTCCATCAGATTGCTGAATTCTGACACCAGAGCCATCCTCATTTCTACCATTAGATCAAAAAATCTCTGCATCCAGACCCAGCATATCTACAATCACCTGACTTTAAAGGTTGCAGGAGAAATAGCTCCGCTAAATAAACAAGAGCCTCAGGAAATGTTACAAAAGGAAAAAAAAAAAAATTTGAAATTGTAGCAAGCAAATTTTGTCTCAAACAGGGAGCAGGAGCAGAACCTACAATACCTACAGTGTTTACCAGGCAGATGGAGGGGTGGTGTTTGTGGCTTCCCCACACTCATCTGGAGCACTTACAGAGCCTTTTTCATACACACCAAGACAGACAATTATTTTAAAAGGCAACTACTGCTTTCTGGTTGGTACTGCAGGGTAAGTTATACCCTGTGTGAAAATTTGTTGCTTTAGCTCAAATTCAGTTCAGTCACTTTCATATACATTGTGTAGGACATAAATAACAGTAATAAGCAGCAGCATTTGCTCTTAGTGGTAAAGTATTCGTTGCTGTAGAGAAATACAAGCTTGCATGTATGTGRACAGTTATGAGAGGAGATCAATAGGGAGGCTGTGCAATTAGGTACAGGCAGGTAGGAAGCCCCAAAGGCTCTGCAAAGTCGTGGCTCAGTCGACAACTGCACCCCTAATGAAAAACAAGGAACCAAGTAATAAAAATATAGGAAGAAAAAGCCGTTTTTGTAAGATGTTTTTTTCTGCACAAAAAAAAAAGTCCATTTTTAGACTGGTTAAGAGAACTGATCCAGCTGCCACGTCCATGATTTGATCCAGCAAACACAGTGTTTTTCAAGGTATTTCCCCCCCCGGCTGCATATACACCCACACAGTTCAATTTCTCAGCTTACTTCCTGCCTAAGCAAGATTAATAACTCCATCCAGTATAAGATTATTACWGTTTGCCTGAAAAATCTTGTGAGATCTTGTGAGAACGATGAGTTTAGATGGTAATTTTCTTACAGAAGGAGCAGATTTTACTCATGCGTGCGAGAGAAGCCCGTCTAACTGGTACAGCTACCTGCACAAGACCACACAGACCATTTCCTGGCCTAAGTATATGGCTTGAATCCAACCCTGGGGGCTCCCTCCAGTTCCCTGGGTGGCACACATCGGCAGGCGGAGAGTTTTGAAGCAGTTTTGCTSCAAGTGATGGTGCGGACGCGCTTCCCAAGGAGAAGCGTGCGCTCCAAAGACCCGCTAAGGCCACGCGAGGGGCCGCTGGCTCCACAGAGGGTGAAGCCGAGCRAGCGCGCAGCCACACAGACCTGAGTTATCAAACGGGGTGGTTTGAAAGCCCACGGAGCAGGCGCCCGTGACCGCCTGCCCCTCCACACGGGTGCTCCACGGAGCACGCGCCTTCCCTTCCCTTCCCTTCCTTCCTTCCCTTCCCTCCCTTTCCCCGTACCCGGTGAGCTCCAGCGCCAGGCTGCCCACGCTGAGGCCCCGCGCTGAGCGGGCCGCCAGCACGGCGGCCACCTGCGGCACCTTCATCACGGCGCACACGGCGCAGGTGCTCCAGTTGGCCGCGTCCAGCAGCGCCGGCGCCATCCCGCCGTGCGGCCTGGAGCGGGGAGGCCGCGGCGCTGCGTGGCGCGGCGCGGGGAGGAGCGAGGAGCCCGCGCGGCCCGGGGGGGCCCTGCCGCTGCGCCCGGCCCCAGCGCGGCCTTCGGCACCAGCTGGAGCGGCAGGATTCAGGGGTGTCCTCCCCAGCTTGTCTGGGCGCACGGGATGGTTTCGGTTTGGCCGCCTTCCCCTCGCTTCAGCTCGGGCGGGTTTAGCTCGCGCGGGTGAATCGCTGCCACGTTCGTCCCTTGGTTCTGACAGCGTCGCTTTTGGTTGCGTAGAGGGAAAGATTCAAAAAAAATAGAAGTCCCTGAGGGTTTGTGTCAGGTTATCAGAGATGGAGCAGCGAGCCGGGGAATACACATACCCACCACACACACTTACATACCAAAATAGCAAAGCTCGGTTTTTAACGCTCTTATACTTCCTGTCAGAACTAAACAAGCGCCGTTGTGCAGGGAAGGTGCATGTGTCACACACTTAGATGCAGCGCCTTGGCTCTCTTGTGCCTGTGTTTTGAGCCCTTGGGACTTTAATGCTTTCCATTAATTTAGATTTTTAGCTAGGCCATATTTCTTCAGCATTAGTGGTTATTTATAGGCAAAAAAACCCCCAATTCTTCCTAGTTTATTCTTACAAGAGGTATGTTTACATTTGAATGCTAATAATTATTATTCAGTATAGTTTCATCAATTTTGCATCTCTTGCAAGTTATTTTCCATTATTTTCATAATGTGCTTTATTGCATTCATTCCAGTTACTTTCAGTGTTATTTTAAAACAGTAATATTATCAATACTTAATTTGTAAATCATGTTGCTCTCTGTTGAATTCAGTGATAAAAGATGCTGGTACCTAGTAGTAGAGAAAAATCTCGAAATTATGATTGAAAGCTTGAAAAATATAATTCTTGAACTGAAAAGATATAATTCTAATTTTAGTACTGTAAATCTSTTTTAAATCTGTTTTCAGGTAGTCTGAGACTAATAGGGAAATAGGAAAGGTAGTGTGGGCATTATCTGCATTACTATGGAGATGCAGATAAATGATGCTGTAAAATATCAGTAATATGCACTTCCTCATAGCCATTTTTTTGAAATGCTCGAGAACCTAAATAGAATCACAKCTATTACAAACCTCCCCAAGTTTATTTTGATATTAGAAATTATGACATATCTACATTTAATCAGCACTGTAGCTTTTAAAAATATATCCTCCTTTGCTTTGCAAGCAATCAGTTTAACAAAGTGATATACTGTCTTTGGGTATGAAGAAATGGTCCTGTGTACATGTCCTGTGTATATGATCTATGGTCTATGTCTGCTTCCTGGTCACTTTTATTCAAAGAACATCTTAGGGAAAGAATAGGCATCACAGTGCTGGATAGCCCTATTTAGGATATATCAGAAATCAAAGTGTTTTTCGTATATTATTTTTTAACCTCTGTTAATCAGAAATTCTTGGTATTCTGTTTAAAATATTCAGTTTTGTATCAAATTTCTGACTCTTTTATGTTGAAACAAAATACTTGCCCTTTAAATTACATTTTGGTGAACAAATTCATTGCATTCTTCTAATCCTAAGCGCAGATTGGCAGTTTTGTAGCAGATGGGCAGTGGTTTAACACTGCTGCACTTCAAATAGGAATGCAAATGTTGATTCCTATTTAAAAAATAGAAAAAGAAAAYAAACTTTCTGCAATAACTAGCATGAAAAAGCCAAAACAATGTTTTATTTTAGTAATGATGTTGGCTTATCATAACTGAGCTTTTAAGCAAATAATGCCATGAATTTTGTGTCTTTTCCAAGGAATGCAAGGAGTGTTCACATTTCCCCACCCCACTGCACTGACAGGGAATAGTTCATTTTAAAAATAACCTGTGCTTTAGGCTCCGGGTTAAAATAAAGGAAGCCGCACAATTAGGGAAGACAGTGGAGGTGGAAGTGACCTCCCAGAGAACTGGAAGAAGACTGGGAGTTGGGGGAATTGGCTGGGGAACATCAGGCTGCAGCCTCCAGTTGCCCCACAAAGGTGGTGTGACCTTGTATGAMGACACAGCATAGGAAACACTCGGGAGGAATTTGAAGCCCATGCACAGGGATCATGGAGAYGTGGTGGGATAGCGCACATGATGAGTGCTGCAGTAGGATACAAAGTGCTTGGGAGAACCTGGCAAGGAGAATGGGAAGTTGTTTTCTACACAAATGAGTATCCAGTTTGCACAGAGCTTTGCCCTGCTTTGGAACAAAGGCCAAGACGGTTGAGATCCGATGGGCTGGGATCAGTGGGGACACCAGCAAGGGGAGTGCTACAAATTGCCTTGTCAGGAAGAGGAAGCAAATGAAGCCTTTACACAACTGGAAGAAACATCACTGTTGTCCCAGGCTCTCTTAGGGACTCAAGATCACTCCGGCATCTGGAAGGGTAGTCTGGCAGGCTAAAGCATTCCAGAAATTTCTRCAGTGCATTGAGATGTTTTTGACCCAGTTGTGGTATCTAATACTCAGAAGTGAGTGAGTTGGCAGTGTGGAAACCAAAGGCAAACAGCCTTGGTAAAAGGGACTCCAAGACCATGAAGTTAAGATCCCTAGGAAAGTGAGGAAGGCAAATAATGGGGGGGAAAAAAAGATCCTGGGCTTCAGGAGAACAGATTTGGCTTGCTTAGGAAACAGCTAGGCAAGATGCCATAGGAAGCTGGAGTGGTTGGCAGAGGAGGCCAGGAGAGTGGACTGATATTCAAAAATGATATGTTCATTGCACAGGAAGGGTCCATCGCTGGTCAAGATCCAGCCAGTGGCCTAATGGTGTGTGGTATTTCTGAGGGCTGCTGCAGGAGTTGGAGCTGTTTCGTGCTTTTCATTAAGAAGTGGGCTGATGGAGCGGAGCACCCTCAGCAAATTTGCAGCCAAAACCAAATTGCAGGTGGCTGTCACATCACCGGGTAGTAACACTGTAGCTTGGAGGGATCATGGCAAACTGAAAAAATGGGCTCACAGAAACCTCAGTAAGTTTAATAAAAGCAAATAGAAAGCATCATGGCCTCCTGTCAAAGAAGGACGGTTTTACATCCTGGGCAAGTCATCCTTCTTTTCAATACATTGGAGACCGGGTGTGGAAGATGGGAACTAGGGCCTGGAGAGGGTTACAGAATCTCCATTTTTGGAGAGTCCAAGAACTGAGTAAAAAGAGCAATTCTGATCTGTTGGCATCAGCCTAGTTTGGAGCTGGGGGGTGGACTAGAGACAATCAGCTATCTCTTCTGGCTACTGCTACTCTCATTCCTGTTCATGTTATCCAGGGAGGTTGTGGAGTCTCCTTCTCTGGAGGTCTTCCAAACCCTCCTGGATGCCACCCTGTGCCACATGCTGTAGGTGTGCCTGCTTGAGCGGTAAGGTTGGACTAGATGATMTCTAGAGGTCCCTTCCAACCTTGAATATTCTGTGATTCTRTGTAATATTCTGTTCGAGGTTGTGTTGTGCAATAGTGTGTGATGGAAATGTAACAGAAACTTCAGAGGGTGGGTGTAGATATTGGGTTTGTGTGCAAAATGTTATATATATTTGTGGCAAACTGAGAATTTGGCTGTTTATGTAAGGCTTACTGGTTGTTAGGCTGAGTAGAAGAATCTCAAATTGAATGAAAGTACTGKAAGCAGAAATACAAATTGTTGACTCAGTATTTGCTCTGTGCAATAGCTTATTCAGTTTCAGAAGAGGAATTTAACTGAGGCCCTTCTGGGTTTTGGCATGTTATCTAAAATAATATGGTTAGATAAAAAGTAGCACTGAAAGAACCTAAAACACCAAGAAAAAAAGACACTTAAACCTGATTCAAAACATAACAAAGTGGAAAACAAAAGAAAAGAAAAGAAAAGAAAAAAAGAGAAGGAAAAAGGTAAGGAAAATACATTCAGTAACTTGTACTGAATTTTCTTAAACTCATTTCCATGATAAATTTGGAATTGTTCCTTTTATGTAGAAACTCTGCTTCAGGAAACCAGGAGACAGGGTGGAGCTGTAGTGTATGGATCTAAAACTGGCTTCTGAATCCATGTTTACCTCAGAGCTACTCAAAATCTCCAGTAAAAATGGAGCCAGTGATTAAATTTGGCAAAGTTTATTAATAATTTCCTAGTATGTGATGCCTCCTGCATTCTACCTGGAGGTCTCCGGATTCTCCCATAACATGGAAGTAGATCTGCCAGCACTACAGAGMAGCTGCAAAACACCTCATTGAACTATTTTCTCCCCACAACCTTCACATTTTTTCAGTAAAAAGCAACTGAGGGCCTCTATGGGGATTGATAGTGTTTGTCAGGAAGCAGCAAGGGCCGTTGAGGGACAAGTTGCTGGGAACTGAGCGTAACTGAGCAGCAGGGCAGGGGCCTTGCTGGACAATAAATGCGATGGTTGCAGAGGGTCGTTCAATATATTGTGAGTTTAATGTTTCTCATTTGCAGAAATATCTGTATTTAAAAGTAATTATTGCTTGTATGTGTTTGTTATTTCATGGATATGTAAATCCAGTGAGGGTAATAGGGCACGGAGATACAAAAAACAGAAACAGGAAGAGTTTGAGATCATCAGGCCAAAGCCATYGAGTAACCCCAGATCACCTCACTTTGTTCCTTACTGCTGAGTAGAGTAGGCTTTTTGTAGCAGTCATGCCTATATATTTGCATGTTCCTTTTTAATGCAATATATCACTCACTTTATGCCARTGGAGAATTTTCTCTTGGCTTTGCCCCAGGAGAAGAGAGATTCCTAGAAGAGGCATTTACAGCAACGCTGCTCTGTCAAGCTGGCATAAAGGTGTTGTGCCGAGGTGAGGCTTTAACCCCAGCTACTTGGAAATCCCATTTCTAAGTACTAGTGGTTTTGTGGCTACGTGTAACTTGTGTGAGCGGCTTTGAGAAGGCTGCAAGATGAAGTCAGTCTATGGCCTCCGTGCATTCCTGACCGAGGGCTGCAATTTGCAGAACTACGCAAGCGACCCTTCAGCGTTTGGCAGATCCTCTGAGTTTCTTAGAGAAGCATTTGGGTTTCAAGGAATTCACTGAGMCAAACACGAGGTGTCTGAAGAGGGAAAAGCAGAGCTGACAGGGATTCAGATTAGCAAGTAGACTTCTTAAGGTAGGCATCTTATTTAAGGGAGTCTTCCCTGTCTCTATCTGGACACAATTCAGCAGCCTGAGGCCCAGCTGGTTGTGGGTTTTTTCTTTTATTTTGACATCAACAGAGCAAAATATAAAAATAAAAATGTTCTTGTGATCAAGAAAACTGTCTGCTTTAAGAYGAAATTCCGTTCAGAACATTTTGTTCTACATAGTGTTCTTTACTGAAAGCAAATGTCTCTATATAATACACACAAACATCAAGCCTGGAGCTGGCCTGTACTGTTCACTTAACGCAATATGTAATATTCCTCTCATTTCTCTATTGCAACAATCTGTGCAAAAATTTTCGTATCCTTATGAGCTCTTCTTGGCAGAAAAAAAGACTGTTTTTTTTGTTTACTGTATCATAATTTAAAGACCAAGAAATAATTTAAAGTACAGTTTCCAAGACACACAATTGGATGCTCAATCATCATCAATTTCATAAAACAAACCTGTTTGTTAAGATGCCTTTTGGGAACTGCATACAGAGACTACTGTAAAAAGTATAAGAAATATATATTTGTATGAACTTACACAGACCATGTTTTGTTACAACAATGTCTTTCACTTTTTTTTAAATGAACAGATCTTGAAATTATAATGCACAAAATTTGGACGCACTAAAAACATATTTGCACCCAGTTAGAATTAATAATACTTAAAAATCCACCATTGTACCTAACTGAAGAATTAGAGTAATATTCTCACCCGTTTCTGCTCTTTAACTGGAAGAAATATTAAGAACACTTTGTCTAAATGTGTATAATCTCCCATTTGTGATCTGGCAGCAAATGGAAAAGAAAGCTTATAAAACTGTGCAGCGTGAGTGACACATCACAAGAACTCTTTACAAGAAGCTGACAGTACAGCTGTCATCTACACACTCTCTTTAATAAATGGATTTTCCACTGATCATTTACAGATTTCAAAGCTGCTATAATTTCATCTCGTCTTTCCATGAGACTCCGATCACGTAAGCAAGGATTAGTCGGCAAAGTTAATTATGGTGGAAGATAAATGATAGTTAGACTTGAGGACAAAATGTAGTAAGTGGAAAATGCCCGTCTGCCTTCTGCTCTCCAATTCTGAGGCACTTTTGGACAGGACCTCAGATGTTCCCCAAATATCTGTTCTGGAGGTTGTTCTACAGAGCCAAATAACTTCAGAAACACCAGGCTGGGAAGCGGGTGTGGTGTAACTGAAGCAACACAAAATACTCGCTCATCTCAAGGAAGGCGTAATAATTGATAATTATTAATTATTATTATCAATTGATCAATTATTAATTATTATTATAGATCAGCTTGGCATAGTGCTCCCATCACACATGGATTATCAAGCCTCTTCCATSTGGGATACTTTCATTCTCTAGACAGCCACTCTCCTCAAAGACAACTGTTAAGATGTCAGTGCTTCAGGTTGTTACTGATTTCAGCAAGAAAAGGTTTTGTGACTTGGGGTGAAAATAGCTATAATAATGAGTTGCTGCCCACTAGCTTTTTTAAGCCACTCGAATTCACTTAATCAGAAAGTCAAGGTATTATCTTAAATTCACCTTAGGAGAGGCAACAGAGTTCTGGGTTTAATGCGATCTTACAACAAAGCGCAGATCAACTTTTTTTCCAAGGCTTCCATGATTAAGCTGAAAATCYGTTTGTGATTGGGCTCTTCCAGAACTATTCCAATGTGGCTGCTGGGGGGCCACTAGCCAGGCTTCTCAGGTACATGCTGGACTTCAGCGTGAATAAAAACAGCACAACGGGGTTTTGTACAAAGCACTTTCTTTGCAAGTACACAAGAACAAATTTCTACATGACTTCTGCAAAAAAAAAAAAAAAATGTGATTAATCTTTATTTTAGAGGTGTGATCTATTTAAATCTGGTCTAATGGAACAATGTTCTTTTTCTTGCAGTTATTTTTGATCATTATAAAAAATGTTTTAAAATCATATTCTGAACATAGCAACGCTAGTATAAATCAGAGAGTTGATGTAAAATACTGTGGCCAGCCATCCTGCTTATTCAGTGACAGGCAAGCCTCATTAAACATGCCCTTTTTGATGGATATGTGTGTGTTTAACCTCCAGTGATGGAGATTTCTCAGGGAACGATTCCAGTGCTGCATTGCCCCTACCTTTAGCTTCCCCAATATCTAACATGCTGCTTCTTTGCTGTCATTTACAACCAATTATTTTACTGTAGTCTGCCATGCATATGAAATATATATTCTTTTTTTTCCTTTTTTTTTTTCCTCCCTTCCAATGCTATTCTATTTATGTATCTGAAGACTGTTACCCCGCTCCCAGTCTTCAGGTTAAACTACACTATTTGTTTGATCTTTCCTCACGGGCTGTATTTTCCAGGACTGCAGTTACCATGACAGATCCTCTCTGCGCTTGTTTGGCTCACGTCTTCAGGTCAAGAACTTCTGAATCCTGCCCGGAACAGGCAAAAGTGCTTCAGCTGAAACAATCCATGTCAGTGACATGGATTGGACCGAGGACTGAATCATGCACCCCTGAGGCTGTCTGCCTTCCTGTGCACTCCATTCTGGAGCGATTCTTGGGAGAGTTACTCCAGATTACACAGAGCAAACAAGAATCTGGACTTATTTAATGCCTCTTAACATCAGGGAGGAATTGCCTAACAAGGCCTTGCTATAATTCAGTGTCCCTTCCAGCAGATGACTCGGTGTGGAGTGGGTGCCACCTGGAGGTTAGGAAGCAAGATGCTTKGTGTGCTTTCATGCGAAACAACAAAATCCCCATGCTGTGGAAATGAGATATTCCCATTTATCATGAATAGGAGTTGGAGTCGGAAGGATAATTGTGCATCTACCACAGAGTTTGTGAGCCCTTCGCAGGAGCTGAGGCTGGTATTATCTCAGAACAGGGCAGAATAAGCACGGTAGCTGTCAATGTTATAAGTAGCCTCTAAATTACATGTACAACCTTTTGGGAAAGAGCTCTGGATAACACAGGGAGAAGGAAAGGCTTGCTCTGGTCTCTTCTTTGCTCGTATGTTTGGAGATAAAGCAGTTCCTGGTGCAGATTTCTGGTGTCAGGAGAGAGCAGAAAATGATTTAGCTGAAAAAAGATAGGCCTTTTTAAACATGTAGCTTCCTGGTTTGTGCATCTGGACACAGTTATCCACCGCAACTGGATATCTGCACAGGGGAACACAGAGTCAGTGCTCCCCTGGGCAGCTCAGCTGTCCTTTCAAGAGCCTTTGCCCTCCAGTTCTCCACAYGGTGAGGCCACGAGGACTGTTTGGTGCCATCACTTCAACAAGTGGGATCTGGCACTTCTCCCAACAGCATTTTTTTTCCAGAGACCACTTGGATCCCACTGTTCTACATCAACCTCTGTGCTTTTTGGACTGCTGAAGTCTCACCTCAGAAATAGATATAGCCTCAGCTACGAAAGCACAGAGAAATATCTGTCCCTTCCAATCTGGCAAGAGGTTGCAGCCTGCTGCAACAGGGCACTGCTAATCATTGACAAAGTCTGTATCTGTGTCATGAAGATGCAGTGGTGAACAAGYTGTAGGAGCTGTGTCCAGTTTAGCATGATGATGGTTTCCACAGGCAACTGCAGATTTTAGGCATGATGAACCTGTTAAAATGTAACAGCCTTCCTCCTTATCATTTCCGTCAGCTAAACCAGAAAAGGTGAGTAAGAGGAAGGGAGCTTCAGAGAGTAGAGCAGAAATAGGAAATTTAAAAACAAGAAAATGAAAAATAATGTGGAGAAAAATGTGGTCCATATCCCATGTGAAGAAGTGATAAAAAAGCACAGAACATGGCTCACGTGCCTCTTCAGGGCAAGCTTAAGCATGCAGATGACACATGCTGAGATGAATTCTTGGTTAGGTCTCTGAAATGTAACAACCTGCTGTGCTTTACTGTGCACGCTTTCAGAAGAACGTTGCTTATGTTGTGACTCATCTGAGCTGGTCTCCATTAATTGCTTCTTTTCAAGCAGATAAAAATTCAAGAAGAAATTGTGTTTTGGCTCCAATCTTGCTCTTTATGACTTTGGTGACAAAGTTCCTGTAGACTTGCAGTAGAAGGTGAGTGAGATCCTAACCATGTACACGGCCCAATTGTGTCAAATATAAAGTGGATCATAAAGCAAAGTGTTGGACAATATCCATCTTTGCTCTTGAAAAACTTCCATGCTCAGTGGTAATATTAGTCTCCATGTAAAAGATTTAGGATGTTTTCACCTGCTATCTTCAATGCTTTGGACTCTGAAAGAAGTCTGTTAGCTAGAACTTGCTGTTACCGGTATTTTCACTTACACACTAGGAAGGCAACAGCTCATCTTCAAGTTTCTGCTTTCGTCTACTGCCGCTGAAGAAGTAATCCATGTTTGCCAAGGTCTTACCAAGCTCAGTATTCATTCGACTGCCAACCACTTGGTTGGTGGAGTTGGGAACAATGTCTGAGAACACAGGGACATATTCCGGCAGTGGCTTCTGCTCCTTTTTCCTACCCTGGATAAACCAAACAYGGTTAATGAGAAAGTTTTTGGAATTACATTGACCACATGTTAACAATTTTTGCAATTACTAGTAATATCAACTCTGTTGTTCCTGATGAGAGATCTTAGATACCTTTCTTACTGCATATACATGACAATGATGCAGAAATACAGTCAGATGATTTTTCCCTGGGGTCTTTCATGGGAGTAGGTTACACAGACAGGGAATCATTTTCAATTGTACTATGTAAAATCACAACTGAGCTAGAATTTAGCTGCTCTGGAATGGTCATGATGTGAGTTGTTTTCATTTGTTTTACTTTTAGTAASTGGCTTGGATTTTAGCATGATGACATTATTCTATTTTTTTTTTTTGTTAGGAAGCTGGTTCTTCTAGCACTTCTCTTTCTATGTAATTGCTTATTACTGAAACAGATCGAATACCTGCACGTACTCTGTGGTGTAGGCAGCAGATGAATGTTATCATAAAGCATTTTTAAAGATTTTATCTTAGAATATTTGACAAACTGTGCCRTTTAAAATGCTAACCTTCTTTAAACTGGTAGAAACCAGAAGAAGCCTGGCTTGCAGTTAGGCATTTGTGTGGAACTTACCAATTGGTCATAGTCCTTTAGGAAGCTCCAGTTCTGGTACCTTGGAATAGAAGTAAAAAATATATAAAATATATTTTCTGACATTAAACAAAGTAATTAATGTTGCTCACACCTGAAAGTTTAATTAAATTTCACACTTACAGCCTGTCTCTTAAACCTGCAAATCTATCCTTTCTGTGATGAACTTCAGGGTTTCCTTTATCCTCATATTGAACTCCTTCTAAATTAAGACTGTTTTTAACTAAGTAGGTGAAGGCCAAAGAGAAAAGAGTTTCTTCAAGACGTATTTGCACCAAAGATCAAGGCTAGATGCCCTGAGCTCGTCAGTTGTATTTATGCAGTTCTGCAGCTGAGCTTATAGACGTGATGCTAAGGTTGGAAGCTGAGCAGGTCAGTCAATGCAACACTGCGTTAAACCATGTGGGCTCGGTGGCCACCAGATTTGTCCTGTGCACTCTTGTCCTTATGCCCTAAGTGCAAATAAAGGATAACTTATTATTGTGTTTATTGTTATGTCTTGGTATATCTGTGCACGTAGTCATCCCAAATTGTTTATCTCACTGTGCCAGGCACTAACATACCAGTTATGACTGTTAGTGCATGATGCTAATTATTGAGTAAAATATGGATGTCTGCCTCTCTTCTATGCCCACATTTTATTGCCAGGCTGCTAACATGTGGCAGCCTTTCCCTATCCTCATCTCTGGGCCAGGGATGTGGAGCTGGAGGGCAGTCCTGCCATAGTGACCTGTGGCACCAGTCCCTTACACACCCGTCCGGCCTTTTACAAGACTTTCCTGCCTTCACAGCTGACAAGCACGAACAGGACGGGCATCAGCTGTGCAACCTGTTAGCTCAACTACCCATGCTGGTGAGTTTGCACTAATATCTGGATATTATATCTAATATCTGGGGCATTAGGAGCCCCATTGGGCAGGACTTTGCTGCCTTTGCTAGGGATGAGCCCAGCCTGCTGGGTCTGGCTGCCCAACTGGGAGACAGACCCTTAATTCTGTAACAGCCCTGGCCTTGAGTCCTTATTTCAACCTTTCCACCAGACCAAACCAGACAGGATGGTAAATATGTCTGTGGGGAAATGAGAGCTGTGATTTGTGCCTCCTCCAGAAGGCCAAGGAGGACAACAAGGAATTTGTAGGTTTCTTTTTTCTGAACAGCCCCGAAAAGGGAACCGTTTCTTTCTCCTCCTTTTCCTTTCATCTACCTATAGGTAGATAAGGCCAACTGGACCTATAGATAGATAAGGCCAACTTAGTTTCTTCTGCTAATAGACACTTTCATGCTGCATACTAAAGTGTGAACATGAACACTCCCCAATTTTATGGACAAAGGAAGAGAAGATCTGAACTGGTTCCTTCAGCTCTCTGCTGTGACTCTAAAGCTCAGGCAAAGCTCAGCTCGTGCGTGTGCAGCTCAGTCTGCGGATACACCAGCAACAGCGGGATTTTCCTGCCTGCTTGTGGGACATGTTCACGAGATGTGCAGATTGGAAATGCAAAATAATTTTTTGGCAGAACACTCTGTCCAACGTAGACCTCAGCCATTTCCAAGAATGAGAGAAGAGGCGATAATATCAGTGTGTCTGCAATAAATCAGAAAGGTTGGCACATTTATATCCTCGCTGCGGATATCTATAAAGCTCAGAGATACTGAGCATTCAGTTCTCTGTGTCTGCATTTCAGCTTAAGCTCAGTGTGCCAGGAGGCTCTGACAACATTAGTGTAGATGTTGTCCAGCAAAGCGAAACAGAGAGGATGTAACCTTGGTAAGAAAGATGCTAGGGCGCACCCAGAGCCCACAGGCTTTAGGTCAGGCCCTGCCGGTGCCAGGCCGAGATGGGCAGTGAGTCGTGACGACTTACTCACCAGCTGTTCCTGCCTCGCCGCTCGGCCTCCAGCCGCTCTCTCCAGACGCGGTCGCCGTGCGCGGGGCCTGGCTGTGGCATGGGCTGCGCCGGGGGCGCCGCGCGGCCTCGCGGGGCAGCGCGGCCGCAACGCGCGGGGTCCCCGCCACGCGCCGGATGAGCCGCCCCGGCCGCCTGGCACCTGGACGAAGGAGCTCCCCTTAGTCCAGGACTGCCTCCCGTCCCGTCCATGTCGAGACCCAGCACACCCGCAGCATGGCTGGATGGGCCCAAAGCTCGGCCCTTTGTTGCTTGCTTTTGTCCATCCAGCATTTCCCAGTGCTTTCTGCTGCTCTTTTCCCGAACGCTGAAGGCATCTGCATGAGGAGCAGTCACTACCCAAAACCATGGGGCTGCAGCTGTGGCCAGCAAACCSCTGCAGCTGGGGCCACCCCATGGGCAAAGTGCCTCACACGGCAAAGCCTGGAGCTCTGCCACGGTGCCAGGAGACCCTTGTTAGCRCTTCTGCATCCCAAGCAAAACGCCCTGAAAGCTGCTGCTCTCCCTGGTGTGTTTACTGTCTCCATTGGAAACAAGCCCGACTCGTGAATATTCCCCAGAAAGGGAGCGGACACGCAGCGGGCATAGCCGCTGCGGCCCTGACCTTTGCTGGGGCCACAGCTTGCTTGCTTAAAATAAAGTATCTTCATTCAAATGTGCTTTGAAAGCTCCTTAATTTCAGATTTTATAGAAAGGAGCAGCCCGAGATCAACAAAACCCATTTTTTAAGCACTTAGAGATATCTGGAAAGGACATTAAGCAACCAGGAGAAGTATCTGTTAGGAAACTTCAAAGGGTTATTAGGACACAAAGCGGGAATTGTCAAAACAGTGGCCAAAATGTCAGTGTTTGTCTTTACACCCAGGCTGCCTGGCTTTTGTGGTATGAAGTCACTTCCTTCTTCAGTATTTCTGATCTCAGGAAGTTGGACTATTTTAAATATAAATTTCCTCTTAAATTCCTGACTGACTTGTTTTTGCGTAGCGTGGATTGGCTTGAGATGAATTCTAGCCTCTTGCTTCATCTTGCTGGTAAACACTGGTGAACTCTAGTCTGACTTTGAAGGCTCTTCTGGCAAGTTTGCTTGGAGTATTTAGAAATACATGCTGATTTGGCAAATAATTTCTTATTAAATAATTCTAAGTGAAGCATTTCATGTAGACATTTTTGAGCATGAAGTTTTGTTTTGAAAATCAGTTTTGACTTTGCTAATTGGAAATGCTTCCGGCTTAAGGAAGGGTAAAAAAAAAAAGTCCAAATTGAAACAAAATGTTTGATTTTAGCTTGAATGAAACTTCAGCTGGCATTTTGTTTGTTTGCTTGTTTTTCTGAGATAATTTAAATTATCCAATGTTTTCCATCATTTCAGCCAAAAAAAAAAAAAAAAGAAAAAAAGAAAAAGAAACTGGTATATTCATATAGCGTTGTAACAGACTGATGAAACAAGCTGTTTGCCAGCGTGATAATTGACTCTAATCCTCCTTTGCTTATCCTTCTGCCCTGGTACCAGAGTCCTCTCCAAGCTGGAGCACACATAGCTGGTTGTAGAAGGGCTTATATCAGCATCTGATGGCTTTACAAGGAAACTGAGGCACACTGGGGAAATCCAGTATAGTAATCAATGCATAGATGATTTTAGACTCCTGATCAGCAATGGATCTGAATGGGAAGTGAGGTACATTTGATCTACCAGCTGCAGACTTTGAGCATTAAACAAATGGAAAATACAACTCTATGTCAGTGATCGTATGCTTCACTGTGTTCCAGCTGTTCCTCTGGAAATAAYAGTTGGGAATAGGGTCATGACTCCTTAGATAAAGGAGTTTTAAAAAATTTAATAAAAATGTTATTTTACAGCATCTGCTGTTCCAAAAACAGACCATGAAGAGCAAATATTTTTAAAAATATCCCGTTATCCATTGGGAACAGCTGTCATGAAGGGAGTGGTTGTGCACCACTAGAGCATATCGAGGTGAGGAAGGGGTGAGGTTTCTCACCACTGCTCTAGATTCCTTACAGGATACACCTGTGGCCCATTTGGACTATTTAATAGATTAGCAGGTCAGCAGAACTCYTACAGCATTATGCTGTTTCCGTTTGTATTGGTGTGTGTCAGTTCAGGATTTTATTTGTTCTTAACAGTAACTTGGCATGTCTGAGCAGACAGCTCATTCTCTGGGCACTTAACGTCTATCCCTTATTAGAACAGACTGGTGATAATTGTGACATGATGCCATATGTATCTACACAAACTGCTTACAATGTCTCTGTTTTTTATGTTTGGTGATATAATTTTTTTTTTTTTTTGAGCATTGCTGCAGGAGACTGTTTTTGCTTAGGATTTTGTCTAAGGATTAGTTTATCTGGCTAGCAGTGTCAGTGCTCGTCATTCTGAAAAACAGAGGTTATTATTTTGTTACTACCAGACAAGTGATGATATCAACTACACAGTCATCTGTGAGAAATAAGTTATGAGTTTACCTGCTCACCTTGAAGGAAATAATGTTTAAGAAGACTTTATATGGGAGAAAAATGTTCGGTTGTTTAGATAAATCCTTTTTATTTGACCACAAGAGGGTATTGCAGTATAAATTATGCAAAGCATGAACTAATATTAACATATGCTACCTTATTTTAAGAATATCCCTGTCTTAAAATTGATCCATAAATCCATGTCCATGTGTGATGTTTCTGAAATGCTGACAGATATTTGGGAGGTCACAGGGAGGAGATAACGGGCTTCACAAACTCTTATGGCTGCAAGCCTTAGCAACATGGAAAGTTGTGTTCATCGCTAGCTGAGTCTCACAAGTGTTTTCAGCTGGTAGTATCAGCTGRGTCCTATGAAGAAGTGTGGTATTGCAAAGGCAGACAAAATTGTTATTATTTAGTCAGAATTGTTTAAGTCGCATCCTCACTGTGATGGGAAGCTCTTGTAATTGTGGATAGGAACTTTATTTTCTTCTGGTTATTCTCTCTACTTCCCCGCACAGTTCGCTAAAGAATTAGGCTGCCCGCGTCCCTCTGAAAAGGCTCTGCTTCCTATTGACTTAGTAACTAAGGCAGTRGTTTTGATCCCTGAAGTCTGGCATAGCCCTGCTTTCCATAGCCCTGCATCATTATATGCTATACATCCATTAACAATTAGTATGAGCTTAAGGATTAGCCTTACAGCAGCTGAGGAGAAGCTGCTTCACAAACACTAAAGACAATCAGTTTTTTCGTTACCTGGTGCACTGGTGTATTCACATGATTATTTACTGTTGGCAATGATTGTATTCTAGATATGCATCACAGCATATTTTGATGTTCAAAATGCTTTCCAGTTTTAAGGGTGTGAGTGGCTGGGAAGATTTGCTCTATTCCTTGGCCACATCCTGTATTAGCTAACAGTGTATTTGTTTATCTACATTTAATACATTGTTTTAGTTAATATCTTCTCACCTTACTCAGAAAAGAGATTAGCTTTGGTGTTTTTATATTGATTACCAAAAATTCTTTGCTGCATGTAATACAAAATCAGGTAAAGTCAGGGTTTTCAAATCTGAGTGCCTAGAATATTTTTGAATTGCCTATCTGGGTACTTAGGTGAAAGAGATCTGATTTTTTTTTCAAATGTTCTCAACGTTTGCAAATTCAGTTTACTAAAAATTAGTTACTTCCTTATAGCTTTTTAGAGGTGATTTTCAGAGTCTAATATTGGAAAGCCTTGCATGAATATGTCAGTAATAATCTTTATCTGTTTTGCAGCAAAGATTTTACCATCCTCACTGCAGATGTCTATTAATGAAAGTTTCCTTCCATTCTTGAATCACACATTAGAATGATGCTTGGGCAACCCTAGGAACTAGAAAGAAATCTTTCCTAAACAATTCCATAATTCTCTGTAGGCTTTTTGTGTATAACTTTTCTTTGATTACCTAATACCTGCTGGCAAGTTTTAAGAGATCATAGGATCACTGAATAATTCAGGTTGGAAAAGACCTCACAAGTCAACCCAAGTCAACCTGGTGCTCCAAGCGAAGTCAGCTCTCAGATCAGACTCGGTTGCTCAAGGTTTTAACTAGTCCAGTCTTGAAAATCTTCAAGGATGAAAACTCCAGAGTCTCTGGTCAGCCTATTTCACTGCTCAGATGTCCTCACCATGAAAAGTTCTCCTTGTATCTAGTCTGACCCTCATGTGTCTCTTTGTCCCTCATCCTCCACCATGTTCTGCTGTGAACAGCCTAACTCTGTCTTCTCAATAACCTCCTGGCAGGAACGTGGAGACTGCTGTTATGTCCCCTCTTCTCCCGGAGAACCTTCTCTTCTCCAGGTGCCACAAAATTTTGTGACCGCTGTGACCACCGTGACTCTGAGTTACATAGATCTGTCAGGCCTTTACCTAATGCAGCCCATTCTCTGTCCCAGCATAGACACACACAAGAAAGGAGAGTCCATGGGACTTCAAAGGGAAAGTAACAGAGCGTACAGAGAAACCAGAGTTTTGCCATAATTTTTTCTTAAATCACCTGTGCTGACAGTTTCACATTTGAGCCTCCTTCCTTCTAGGGCTGTGGACTTGCCTTTGTTTTGCTGTGAGGCTGGAAACTTTTGTTTCCTGAAGAAATGAACAGTCAAAACAATGCAAAATCTTCCTGAATGTGCTCGGATCTTTGTATTTTTAGCTCAGCTGTGCAGCAGTTCACATGCCAATGCACAAACAGTGAGGCAAAAATGAAAGGAAAACAGCTGCGTCCCAAGACCTTGTGGCCAGAGCAGCCAAGTAGCTCTGAAACAGCTTCCAGACCAGACTTTTATTGCAACAGATGCTTCCTTAGAGATCCTTTTATGGCTTTACCGAAGAGTTTGGTAGCCTGGCTATAAGAGTGGGCTGAATTCCAGTTTTCAGAACAGGTTCATGGTTTTAGGAAAYTGCGTGGAAACCGTTTTCATTTCTCCTGATGGTCTGATGCGGTAGTCCAGGTCATTGGAACTAAAGCCATGAAAACAGTGCTCTGCAACTTACCTTGCTTGTTTGCTCTGTGAAGTAAAGATGCTTTAARTGTATTGGAAATTGTTTAAAATTGTGGGTAAGTCTAATTCCTCCCAAATTTGCGAGCACAAGTCCATTGTCCACATGCAGAAGCATTTGCTGACTTCTAAAACATCAGATACTTGAGAAATCCATGCAGGGCTGGTAGATGCATTGCAAATCTACAAGAAACCTGTGTTATTCCGTAACAGGGACAGGCAGGAATGTGCAGTCTCCAAAAGCACAAGGTGACTGCTATGTGCTCATAGGTTACCCAACTGACTTGGTATTCACATCTCCTGGATTCCCCTGGATGGGTAAGTGGGAATGTGGGTCCTTGAACACCAATGTTTCACTTCACAGATCCACGCTACCTGCTAATGGAGACATGGCTCATGCTCACCACAAGAGCAGTGGGGATACCTTGTACTCTTGAGYCCTACCTTAATGGAAGAAGTTTATTAGCAAATGACTACCTTCTATTGCATATTTTCTTTTCTAGCATTGATTTGCTGTTTGAAAGGGGACTTATCCATGAATAAAAGAAAGATGACTTCTGAAAGGAATGATTTTAATTCCCTGTCTTGTGTTGAAAGGAAACATATGAGTGTTTTTCTCTATTTAATATTGCCTTTACTGATTCCTGCCATGTTTCTTTCATGACAGAGTTTTGTTTGTATATTTTCATTTGTATCTGCTTATGGGAGGATTAAAGATGGATTTGGACTACATTTTTGCAAGTCTAATTATAAGACCCTCCTTATAGAAAGTCAGTAGCATAAAATAAGAAGCAGAATCTTTCTTATACTTGTAGTTACAGAATGAGTTCAGATGATATAAAAGTTTTGTCCATTAATGAGAATGCCCATTGAACTAGCCCATACTATCTGTGTAGTTAAAATTATACAGTACTCTTGCAAAAGGCAATCTGAAMATGTACCCCAGGAGTGGGTCTGCTGGGTGCCCTGTTCCTGCRCCTTCCATGGGTTGCTCTGAGCTGCAGTATTCCCAAACTGTGGTTGTAAATTCTGCCTAAAACTTGAACTGAGAGATAGTCATGAGCTTAGCAGAGGCCATTGGCATTTGGTACCAAGAGCCAAGTTAACGTGTGGCAACTGCTACAGGTTGCTAAAGCTGAACTGCTTTTTGCTCTTTGCCCRTTCCTATTTGTTCAGGGTTTCATTAACTTCATGTGTTGTGAATACTTACCTGAGCTGTATATTTTAACTTTCATAAACCTATAATTTTGCTTGAGAATAGCAGAAGATAATAACAATCAAAACAGACTTTGCAAACTGCCGCTTTCTTTTAAAGCTCTGATCCCAAAATACAGCTTAAAATACCTTTTTAAACCCCCMAAAAGGAACAACTTAGCTTGCTTTACATACCTTTGTTTATTGTGAGTGTTCAAATTCACTTTCTTAGAATAAGGACTCCTCAGTGCCATGGTGTGTAGCAGCTGCTTTGCTTTAAACTTTCTGTGTTATGGACTCTGCTGTTGGTGCTGTTGTTAGCACAGAGAAGTAAATACACTTGGAGCAAAAGATCACACCATAGCAACCCTCAGCTTCTGTTTACAGTTCAAATAAATGTCTGTGTCACTGAAATTTATGTTTTGAGAAATTTGCTCAACCAGTACATTGATTGGCTTAATAACAAAGGGATTAATACAGATAAGTTGAAAACAAATTTAGTCTCAATATTTAAATGATGAATCATTTTATCWTTTTAAAAGCTGTCAGTAAATAACACATCACAGCCGCTCAGTGCAGAGGGAGTTTTCTTTGTCTTATTTATCACACTAGAAAGTGCGTGACAGCTCTGAGGGAGAGATTTGTGTAAGTACTCAGCAGAATACGAGTTCTTCCAAATAAAATCAATATTAAAACTCYATTTGCTTAATGGGAGCAACTCTGTGTATTTTGAAAGCTCTAGCCAAGTGGCTTTTAATTTCCTCACCTTTCGATCAAAAATGTAGCTCCTATTCTAGAAAATCTCCTATTGACTGAGCAGGGAATTTTGCTTGAGAAAAAGCAGTGGAATAAGTTATGTGTCTCTCTGAAAGTCCTTGCTGCAGAGGCACCTTATGCCTTTGAAGGAAATGCCAGAAAAGGGCATTTTTTTCTTCTCTGAAACGAATGCTAAGACACTGTTGCTAACTTGCTTTATACACACACACACACACACACACATATATATATAAATATGCAAAAGGATAAGTTTTTTATTCCTAAAATGAACTATTACTTTCAGATCTGACTCATACATGTTAGTCCTTCAGCTGACATTTCCTTATACTTGGCCAATTGTGCAAAAACCATGATCATTGGAAAATAAGTCTGAGCTCAAGTCACCATTTTGGAAAATTTTATATCTGATGAGGGCCTCAGTGTTTTTTGGCACAGGGAATATCTGGAGAAGTTGATTAGAAGRCAGCAAAGTGTTAGGTATGTTGTAATGTACTTCTCATTTTGTTCCTGCTTTGTGTATGTTTGTGTATACTGTGGGATAATCAATGTTTTCATTTAAATATATATATGGTGTCTGGCTGGCTTATGGCACAGCTTCTAAGTATATCGCCAGGTGAGTAAAATATCTATTAATTCCCCTGACACCAGGCCATCTTGCTTGTGAATTGGGTTCACTATTCCAGAAATGATTGTTTTAGCACACAAAGTTATTTTGCAAGGCTGGTCAGTGTTTTTAAGCAGGGTGCCAAATGTATATGGCATTACTTCCATTGATTTTAAAAATAACAGCAAGGTAGCAAATGTAACATCTCTGGTCCTTAAATGAACRTTAGAAATGTATGTTAGAAGATATTATTTGAGCTCTCCTGTCTTAGGATAGGACTGGGGAAGGATGTAGTCCATCAAGTGCAGGGTATTGCTGATGACCTGCAAAAATGGGTCCTGGGATCCAGCACCCATCCAGAGCTGCGCATCTTCTCTCCAGCTGCCTTGTGCTGTGTAAAGATCCCYGTGCTGAGGGAAAAGAAGAGATTTTAGGTAGTGATTGCTGCTATAGAAATCACTCGCTCTGCAGCAATGTGCCCTGCTAAGGAGGCAGAGCCACAGCAGCTCCCTCATACAAGGTTGGGTTTCCAACCAMGTCTTCATAAGGGGTAATGGGTGCAAGCTGAAATACAGGAGGTTCCATCTCCAGGTGAGGAGGAACTTCTTTACTGTTAGGGTGACAGAGCAGTGGAACAGGCTGCCCAGGGAGGTTGTGGAGTCTCCTACTCTGGAGGTCTTCAAAACCCGCCTGGATGCCGCCCTGTGCCACATGCTCTAGGTGTGCCTGCTTGAGCGGAAGGTTGGACTAGATGATCTCTAGAGGTCCCTTCCAACCTTGAATATTCTGTGATTCACTATTTTAGGCCAAAACCCAATGTTATTCCAAGCAGTCCTGCATATTTCACTTTTACTGCAAACTGAAGCATCGGAAGTTCCACAGGAACTTAAGGAAGCATTTCTTCACTGTGAGGGTGACAGAGCCCTGGAACAGGCTTCCCAGAGAGGTTGTGGAGTCTCYTTCTTTGGAGATCTTTAAAACCCGTTTGGATGCAGCCCTGTGCCACGTGCTCTAGGTGACCCTGCGTGAGCAGGGGGGTTGGACTCGATGACCTCTGAGGTCCCTTCCAACCTTGGGCATTCTATGATTCTATGATTCTATGATTTTTTTTTAATATCAGAAATAAAGATACACACATGCTCAACCATTACATCGGGCTATAGAGATTTATCCACCATTTGAATCTGTTATGTTTTGCCCCGCACATGGGTCCCTGCTAATCTGAATTCTCACTGCAGCTTTCCTCAGAAAGTCACTATCAGCCATCTCTATTTCTTGCCAACAAGAAAAAAGGCAGCATTGAAGGAGATAAATGAAAGGCATCATGTCCACTAAGCCAAGTCTGATTGCATTAAGATAAGACAGCAGTAAAACCACCATAACTCAACATTTCTGAAGTCATAGGAGACTTCAGAAAGTCTCCTATTGCTGGCAACAGCCARCAATGCTTGGAGAAAAGTAATCTAATATTCATCCTCAGAATCAACAGGACAATCCTGGTAATGCCTATAGCTCTAATTTCTGTCACCAGAAAAAAAAWAGAAAGAAAAAGGGGAAAAAATAGAACATCCTGAAGACATTTGAAGTGCTCTCTACTGAAGTTAAAATGCARGTTGGATTCATAAAGTATACCAAGCCAATAGCCAATTGCTTCTTCAGTGATTATAAGATTTCTAGACAAAGAAAAAGGAAGTTACTTTAATAAAATCTGAATTCTGGATATTGCATTTTGTTTACTCGAGGAACAGATTCATATTCACCTGCAATTGAACGCTGAGATAAGAACAAAAAGTGTCCATGGGATATGGTACAAAACTTGACCCTCTTTCCCTGCATCTCTTCAGTGGCCAGGATTAGCCTGTCYGAAACACAGTTGTGCTGTGTGTGCTGAGTGTTTCCGTACTGAAAATAGACATCCAAGAGATTTGGACAGGGCCTCCTTCCAGAGGCAATGGAGATGACAAGTGGCAACAAGGACAGGAGATAAACATGGTTGTTTCCACCACTAGGACTGCTGCCTGTTTGTGCTCATCCTCCCATCTGCAGGGGAGATGAAGCTAAGTTGGGGCTAAACATTTTTCTTTAAGTTTTTCTTCAAGTTTTTCTTCCTGTGGCTGCACTATTTGTAGCTTGTACAAAGCAAGTTCTCAGAGTATGGATGGGGAAGCTGTTGGCAGGCAGCGTTGGAAGGTATTTTACAGCTACCCACGCAGGTGCCACCTKCATCCACCTTGGCAAGACTGTGACCTAGTGGGATATGTTGACCCCATCGATCCCCTCCTGCTGCTGGACTGCAGAGTCCTTGCAGAAGAAAACTGCCAGCAACCTCCATGGAAATGTTAAGAAAAGCGCATTGCAAAGCAGTAGCACAATTCCTATGACTCACAGAGTCTGTGTTTGGTCATGGATTGAACTGGTTTTGGCACTCGGCTGGAAAAAGTGCTGAAGATTTTGATGAGAGATTTGCAGTGGCCCAAGCTCTTAATTGCTGCTCTTCCCATCATTTCCCATTCCACGGAGACATGCTCACTTCCAGAGGATCTTTACCTTCTTTGCAGATAATTTTCCTCTTTTGCTGTATAGATTTTCTTCTTCAGAAAACCTAAAGTAATATTTAGAGGAAGATAGCTAAAGTTCATCTCTTGATCCTGAGCCATTAGACACAGCAAGATTTTTTCATAGCCCCTAGCAATAGCAGTCTCATGTTTGACATATTCTTTGGTTCACACAGAATCCTGTAAAAGAAATTTAAAGTTTAAAGGAAATTTAAAGTTATGCTRTTTCTTTGAGCAGATATATGTTTATACGCTTAGAAGCTGAACTGATTTTAATTCTAAATAAGTTCTTCCTGAGAAGCCCAATTTATCCTGCTGGAAAAGTACTGGATGATCCTCAGGCCAAGCAGGGACTGTGTCTTGTAGTACTAGTGTACTGTAGACGGTGCTGGTGGTGATGTCGTAGTGGAAATCAGGGCCAAGAGTTTTGAACCCTGGTCTCTAATGCTGCAAGTTATGAATGCCAAAGGTCTCTGCTGCCCTTAGCAAAACTCCTGCAGAGTGACATTGCTCCAGGCAGTCATTTCCCTTACGGTAATTCACTGTCTCTTGCTGTGAACAGAAGCAAAAATAGTAAGCAAAAGCACCAAGGGTTTTTTTCATACGAGGATTTGTGTTCTTCTAAAGGCCTCCTCTYGGGAGGGTTCCTTCCCATCATTTCATTCCCAGAGTTACATGTTTGTGATTGTGTGACCAGCRCATATCAAAGCACAGAGAGGCAAACAAATCCACACACGTAGGGYTGTCAAGGTGCCACGCACAGGCTAGTCAAAGCACAGAGCTAAAATAAAAGACGTYCTGTCCTTTTTGAGCTTCTGAAACTCTCACAGACAGAGTCACATGTTATTATTATTTGTTCTTCATTGAACAGGCCCACCTCCTTTGCCTCGGCTCAGCCAAAGCAGTCTGTCTCAGCTGCTCTAGAAATGCTGAGGTTCAGATGTCCTCTAGTGTTGTGCAGACTCTACAAACGACAGAATGAAATCTCTCTATGAACACCACATGATTTATACACCCACTTTTTCCTAGTTTTGAATAATCTAGGATTATTGCTGCCAGGCAATCTAAATTAGTCCTGTCATATGCTCTCGGAGCCAAGCAATAGCAAAACTAACATTTTTTTTTCTCTTTGTTTCTATTTTTTCAGGACTTTGCAAGCTGTGGAAATGTTGAAACACCCAAAACGGTGTGAGAGAAAAGGTTGTATAGGATTAGACTAAATAGCTTTCTGGGGAGAAGCATGCAATTATATAATCTGTACTGTCCGCACGTGGAGCATGCCGGGACTGTAGATATTTGCTCTGGTTGTCAGAGAAAC